CGGAGAGGTCCATCCGTTAATCCCACAAATCTCGACGATATTGGCGTCCCCTTCATGCCTCCGCCGGCGATGGTTGACACCGCGGTTGACAATCCCAGCGTCGTGACGGCTTGTGAAGGTTCCGACAAACGGAGGAAGATACAATCAGATTGAACGAACGACGGACATAACAAATGTTGTGAGGGAACACGGGAAGGCCACCGCTTCGGCCTTCGTCAGTGTGAGGGAAACGCAGAGGGAGAACACTGCTATGATCGTCGGTGCGATGAACAACATGAATAACAACATCGCCGCGAATGAGATTGTACTGTCCGGTGCTCTGGCGCTCATCGCCCAAGCCTTTTGAAAACAACAGGCACGACAGACACCGCGTCCAGCACACCGTCCCCAGGTAGTGATTGATTTTACTTTGGAGTATTAATTCATCACTGTTATTATCTCTAAATATTAGATACATAAATATTATATATCTAGAATTTGTTTTGTTAGCCTGTGTATGCACGTCCGTGTTAGCGGTTGATTTGTTGTTGCATCGGAGTTGGTGATTGAAAAAGTAGGGCGGATCGCTTATCCTCTCGCTTCCAACGGAGCAAGAAGGCAATTTGGTTAGCCTGTTTCATGTTGCGAAGGATGACAAAGGGTTATCCTTCAATTGTTTTTGGTATTTGCCTATTTATGAAAAGGGCACATTCTACTTTCGGCTATGGAACCCAACACACACAAGTTAACAACAAAAAGCTAGTAAACATCAGAAAGATGGGTATCAGCATAGAAAGATGTATTAAAGTTCTTTCATCGGTAGTGAGATTATGACAAAAACCGAAGAAGAAGCCCCGACTAACTCCGTGCCACACTGTGTGTGTGTGTGTGTGCAATCTACAGAGGTACCTTGTTCGTCCGGGAGGAAGGACTTTTTTTTGGGTTTCTTTTTGCTTTTTGTTTTTTTGCATGTCCGTCAGTCCATTGAGTTCTGCTTGTGTGAACTTCACATGATAATGCTTTCATGTGCACATAGAGTTTAATACATCGGTTTTATTAGCAAAAAATGTGTTGTTTGTGGGATTTTTGTTTTTTCTCTTAGTTTTGGCAAAGGTCATTGATCCTGAATACCCACCGGTGCTATTGATGGCAGATCACAGTATCCTCTCAGTACGCCGGTCAGATGGCAGTGCGAACTAAAACTCGAAAAGCAAAGGGAGGAATCGAATCCCATTAGTATCGTGCTTAGACTATTTGCCCGGTCCAAAACTCACATCAGTGCAAAGATCAGTGGCACACAAACACGGATTGCACACACCTGGCGATCTTTGACCTCAAAATGAACTCATTTTGTGGTCACAGATCACCAGGTGTGTGCAATCCGTGCATTTGTGTCTCTGATCTTTGCACTGATGTAAGTTTTGGAACGGGCACATGGCCATTTCACGCTGCTAATGGAAGCTAATTCCTCCCTTTCACATGTCCTGCTCGCTTTCACACTTGTAATGTAATTAAAATCTTTGTTTTTTTAGTTGCAGTATACTGTTCACCGGAATCCCGAACTAGGAGGAAACGACAATATGCCATCAATAGCACCGACGATAATTCCCTCTTTTTTTTCATGTTATTTCCCTCCATAGGTTGTCCGTCCTCGTGCGGTGTTTGGGGTTCAATAAAGAGCGACGATATTGAGTTCGGTTCGTTCTTTCGCCTGTTGTTGGAGAACGACATTGCACAAGAACGTGTTTTTTTTTTTTTTTTTTTTTTTTTTTTTTTCCCCGGAGCACACCAGATATGTGATGGATACGGAAAACAAATCAACATTAGGGTTGTGCAAATGTTTACAATATTCACTTGGATAAACACACATTTATGAGAAAAGTGCACCAGCCATCTACGATTGGGGGTTGCCAATCACTACCCGCAATATCATAGCACCAAACTGCACACCGACCGAATGCCCTCTCTCTCTCTTTCTCTCTCTCTCTCTCTCTTTCTCTCTCTCTCTCTCTCTCTCTCTCTCTCTCTCTCTCTCTCTCTCTCTCTCTCTCTCTCTCCGCTTGACGGTTCAGCTGTGCACGCACGTGTTGCGCCACAACCACGCCTAAAGCATTGCGCACGTGGCGGCCTGCGGCACGGGCTTGCTGGCGAGTGAGATCCTCGGGAGGTGGTGGTTGGACATCATCGTCATCCTCATCATCTGGATGGCGGTGCACATTCCTCGGTTGGAGAGTTGGGTCCATGCGCACCCCGCACCGTAGAAGGAGGTTGTGAATGACACACACAACTCAGAATTGCAGGGACAAGGATGTGATGTGTGGTTTGTGGGTGCGCCGAAACATGCGCCACATGCCTTTGAGCCTGCCGAATGCTCTTTCTACACAACCACGACAACCTTTCTGCGTCGTGTTGAACACCTTTATGTTAGAGTCGTCTTCTTGAGGGCCACCATAAGGCACTACCAACCATGTCAGGCTCAGATACCCGTTGTCTCCTAGTATGTAACCTCTCGTCTCGATGCCACCGGGGAGCGCGAGCGGATTAGCACGAAACAACGATCCATCTTCGATTCTCTGCCTGAGCGATGAGTTCATCAGCACGCGTGAATCATGCACACTGCCCAGCCAACCCACGTACACGTCGTACATCGTCAATTCCATGCCCACGACGACCTGCGCCACGACCGAGAATTGCTGATGTCGATCACTGTATGGCCTTGCCATCTCCCCTCCAGGCTTACCTATATAAATGTGTGTGCAGTCAATCGCTCCATAGCAGCGAGGGAAGCCCTTTGTCCCGAAGGCAGCGAAAGCCTCCTGTAAGCGCCGACCTGTCGGGAACGCGATCTCATCCGGATAGGCTCTCAGGATGGCCAATGTGACGTCGCGCACTGTAGTCCTTCCTGTCTTACACCCTATCCCAAAAGAAGTGGATGAATGCTCATACCTCTCGCCTGTCGCCCACCTATGAAGGGCATAGGCAATGAGTTTGCCCGGGTGTGTGGGAGCCCTGTACCACGTGTGCTGACGCTGCAGATATGGTTCCAGGTTGGCCACGATCCCGTGGAAAACCTCCTCTCCCATCCTTATGTTGTCGAAGTAGTAGTCTTCAACCGCATTATCACCTCGGGTCATATTGCGCCATGCACCATCCGCTCGCGGTCGGACCCACCACCGAGGGGGCGAAGGGCCGTCTATTGCAGCCATTGCAGTCGCCACGATCATGAACGACGAGTCCAAGATAACCACCTGCAGCAGTTCGGACTCAAAAGACATGTTCATGAATTGTTGCAGGAGCACCACTATCTGTCTCGCGAGTGTTTCCATTTCCTCCATGGCGTGGACGACAATGATCACGGCAGCTACAAGCAGCAACATCCATCGCCCTCGATCCTCCTCCTGTTGGGCACGATCCCGCCGAGGAGGCATATCCAACCAGTTAATGACGGGGAAAGTGGAATGCTGCTCGCAGCACACTCACATGCGCAGGGAGCGCCGACCACCGAAAGCCCAGATCGCACACCTCGTGCTGCCTGAGAACTGATCGTGTCGACTTTACAGCGTCCATGTGCTAAATTTGGAGTTCTTTGGAGGCACGGAGTACTCCCTGGCCAGCGGCGCACAGGGGCGTTGGCGCACAGGGGAGCTGGCAGTGGAAACTTGCATTGCGACAGGCGTCCTCCGCCCCCTCTGCCCCCCTCTCTACAGCAGCGGCGCGACCGATAGACCAATTTCTGGCTGTGGATCCGATTTTTTGTACGGCCGCCGTACACGTGCTGCCCCTCCCTGCGGGCCACCGCGCACATCTGAGGATTTTGCTGCCGCCGCCCACCGGACGGGGAATCACCGGGTAGTTCCTTTTCCCCCATGCCACAGCGGTCCCACCAGTGTCATGGCGGTGTGGAACTCTCGTGAGAAAACTGCCCACCGCCGCATAGTGCGCACGAACCCCACACGATTCTCTTCAGCCGAATGTCGTCAAGGAGTTATCGTGTGCTATGCGGCGGCGGGCCAAAAAACGAAACGAAACGGAAGGGGGACACAACGCATAGCAAGGCCTCGCGCGCTCGGGGCTCGTTTCTTTTCATTTTTTGGCCCGTCCGGCGAGGCCCATAAAGAAACAGCTCATAAAAGTGGCCACCCTCCAAGGAGCCCGTCTCCGTTCCCCGTCCCCCCCCCCTTCCACGGCCCTTCCCTCCCGACAACCACCATTGGTTGACACGGATGACCGGTAGCGTCTCAACGACCGGGCGTGACGACCACACAAAAAAGAACAAAACAAAAGACGTGTTTGTGCACAGTCTACGCACCATTACGGACTGCGTACGGACGGACAAACATCGCTCCACTACTCTCCACTCCGAATGTGCAAAATTGAGAATGAATCTTCCGCTAGAACATGGAACTATACACCTGCATATTTTGTTTTGTTATGAAAAGTAAGCTATCCTTCTCCCATCTATCTCATCCTCTTGCCAGTACTCATCTATCTCGTCCTCTCGCTAGTCCATAGTACGGGGAAACTCCAACCAACCCGGATCTCTCCCTACCGGTAGCCCAGGGGTAGGTTAGCACCAGCAAGGCTGTACCAGTCCCTTATCACGGTGATGAGGGGTGGGCAGGCATTCCGGATGGGGGAAATCGGCGGTGCTAGCGCCGAGCAGTGGCCAGTCACTGCATCTCCCCCTACCCCCCGCCAACCCCACATTGCGGTGTGTGTGCATGTGGAGAGTACTGGAGCGAGGCCCATTGCCTGTTGAGGAGGATGTGTATGTTGCCACCTCCGCACCAGTTTGTTTGTTTGTGTTTTTGTTTGTGTTTATGATGTGATCGCTAGCGTGGAGGGGGGCGGGAGGAGGGCAAGGAGGAGCCGGTTCGTGAATTCGATTCGCCAGTGTGTCTGAGGAGGATGTAGACTAGTAGAAGGGGGTGTTTGCAATCGGCGCCGTCGTTTTCTTGAACGGGGAGGCTAAAGAATATTCAGGGCGTGCTTTGTGTAACAGTGTGATGTGGAGTCGGGTGTGGGAGGAGGATGTAGAGGGGGTGTTTTCTTGAACGGGGACGGGAAAGAATGTTCAGGGCGTTCTTTGTGTAACAGTGTGATGTAGAGTCGGCATCCGCCTTCAACACTAACGAACGAGAATGAGCTTTGGGTACTGTGAGGGTCATTCCACAGAGCTGTGCCGCGACTTTTCTCTCCACCACCTCTCTTCTCTTTTGGGAAATCCAGTTCGGTTCCATTTCGCAGATTTCTGCCGTAGCAGAGCGACTTTTCTCTCCACCATCTTTTGTCCCTTGGAAATTGCAGCGTTCTACCGGAGCGGCGCGACTTTTCTCTCCATCGTCTCTACTCCTCTGGAAATCGCAGAGCTCTACCGGAGCAGCGCGACTTTTTTCCTCACCATCTCTTCTGCTTCTCCTTCTCCTTCTCCTTGGGATGTGCAAAACGTCGTTTGCGGGCCCACGATGTGCTGTGCTGATTTTTATGCGACCGCGAACTTGTCATGTCCAGGAATCCTTTGTGCCGTGGTCATGTGAGAAGGGTTGCTCGTGGTTGGGCTGCAAGCGGGCGGGTAACGTGCGTGCCTGCGTACGTAGATTGCAACGGTGTACCTACTGTCTGTCTGTCGGTCGGTCTGTCTGTCTGTCTGTCTATCTGACGAAGGAACGGAAACAACGAGAGGAGCGGTTTACCTACTGTCTAACGAATCGCGTCGCACTTTCTTGATTGAGTGGAAGGTGAGGAGCTGGCTGCGGATGGACCAGATATTCCGCCTTGGTGATTTGCGGGAGGGTCCTATGGGCTCCTGGATGGGTCGGCATCGGCTCGTAGATTGTGGTGGTTTCTCCGTAGAGCCCTTGTTGGATTCCGGCTTTTCCGCGGACGAGGAGGGGGAGGAGAAGGAGGAGCAGGTTCTGGTCGCTGCGAGAGACCAGGTGCTGGGCGACTTGGTATCGAATTTGCCGACAATTCAGCCACATGTGGCCTCCGCTGCGAAATTGACGACCATCGACTGGC